GAATATACGTTCCGTAAGGGGCTGAGCGGCTTTCCCAGGTGCTTCTTGACGCTGGAGGTTTGGGGGCTCCAGAGTTATTTTAGGTCTTAACAGTTTCCCCAGCCTTCCCAGGCTCAGGCTCTTGGTTTCCTTGGTAGGACAACTCTTCAGGAAGCAGGTTTCCTATCTCTTTACCTCTGGTCTATTTCCATATTCCAGTAGTCAAGCCCTCAGTTCTTGGCATACTTCTGTTCACAGGATGCCTTTGTGCTCTTGCTTCCATGCCTTTCTTTATTGACTTAATTGATGATTCTTTGAACCTGTCAGGCTTTGCTGGGGAGGCCACACCTCAAGTCTCTTCTCCCCTGAGCTATTCTAACTGCAAACGTTCACTCAGAAGCCACAACCTTACCTGCATCTTTTCTTGGAGACATCTTAACCCTTTCAGAGTATGAAGAGGGGGTGTGATAGTCATTCCCTTCCTTTGACCCTCACCCCCAAACTATGGGTTAATTGACCTTTTTCCCTTCCCAGTTTTATTATTCATCTGTTGGGGGAAGAGAAGCAGCTGCTTTTTCCAACCCTGCAAGTCTGACTTGATGGATTGTTCCCTTCCCTTTTTCTTTGTAGACCAGTCAATGACTTTCTGAGCACATCTCTCTTTTAAGGGTTACACCTTTTAAAATGTAGCCACCATTAGCCAGTAGTAGCCAACACATGCTACTAACATTTGACTTCAACCTCTTGCATGAGATCTAATTCTTCAAGTACCTTATCTGCCTTCCAAGTACATGATGGTTTCACCAGCTGCATTGCCAGCCTCCAAAACCCAGTGCCTCCCTCCCCGCTGCCTGGCCTCTCAGCCAGTGCTGTACTTTTTTTTAGCTGTTAAAGCAGCACTCCACTTCAAGTAGCAGTCAGAACAGGCCAGGTTCTGTGGCAGTAGCAGACAATACCCAATCTCAGTGGTTTAAAGAACAAAGGTTTATTTCATACCCGTGCTGTATGTGTCTTGAAGACTGACTGCTTCCAGGACCCAGGCTGACAGAACAGCTGCTATCTGGAATGCTTCCCATTGCTCTGGAAAAGCTCTGGATAGTCTCATGCCTGTAATTAAATACTCTGGCCTGGAAGTGACAACCTCCACATCACTTCCACTCACCCTTAATGCAGTTTTCCTTCAGCATTGTTTTTGAGCTCTCTCTATCTGGAGACATAAATCTAGTTGCTTCTCATAGTTACATAGTATTCTACCATAAAAATGTATCACACTTTATTTACATATTGATGACATCTAGATTGTTACTGGTTTTTTGTTTTTACACGTTGCTGCAGTGAACATCTTTGTATGTCTCCTAGTGCACATGTGCAAGAATTTCTTTAGGAAATAGTTCCTTTTATTCGTTAGAATATAGTGAGAGAATATGGGCCCCAAGGTAGCTACTTACCTGAAGCACCTTGTTTTGTGAACATCAGCTTCTAATTCATTCACTACACGAGGAAACCAGTTTGAATGAGTGGATCAGTTAACTCTTCTAGTGGAATTCTTCTTGTGCAGTTCGAACCCGGTCTACTGCTAAACATCCTTGATGAATATTCTGGAAACTTTTTAGAATGACATCTGGATTTAAAAGTGCAAATGCAGACATTCTGTGTCTAAAGTGAACATTACTTTTAGTAAACACAGAACAGACTCTTATCAGTACTTCAGCTGAATTTATCAAAGCATCTGCATGCCCTGGATTAATGCACACATGAGTCATGGATTGAGATTTCTTCCTTTCTCTTCTCTTCTGTTTCCATCCACTGCTTGCATATGGAAAGTGTAGTTTAGATAGACCTTGATATCAAGAAGATAAATAAGGGGGGTGGGTATAGCTCAAGTGTTAGAGCATAGAATGCGTGCTCAGCACACACAAGGTCCTGGGCTCAATCCCCACCACGTCCTCTGAAAATAAATAAATAAACCTAATTACCACCCCCCCAAAAAAAGGAAGATAAATAAAAACATTTAAAATATGACAGTGTCCTGTAAAAGCATTAAAATGTGAATAGGAGAGCATTTAACTTGTCATGAAGACAAGAAATGAGTAGGTAAGTGAAAGCAATTTCTGTTGCCATTTAAACGATAAATATTCCAGTCCTTGTTCCCTTTTATCTTAACCCAAATTGTTGATGTGATACTAAACTGAATTTTCAAAACTCTACACTTTTTCCCCCTGTTTTGCTGAGTTGCTAAGGAAAGCTTTGAAATGGCTCAAAAATGAGCAGGAGGTGAAGCAGGAAGAAGAAACCGAATTGAAAATAACTTACAAAATGCTTGGCTATCCTCTGTAGCATTTTAAAAACTGAGACTTCTTTTCAGTTGCCTGTAGTTAAGAATATTCAACCAAATAAAAGGCCATGTGGGGGCTTTTCTGGGTTTCACGCAGCTTGTTCTGTCCTCTGTGCTGAGATGTCTCCTGTTTCCCCTTATCACTGAATACTAATTTTTCCACTTCTTCATGTACTGAAAATTTTACATGAAGAATTTTCTCTATCCCCTCCTCTGATTTATAGCCTCTACTTGTACAACCTGCTTATCCTGCCGCCCACTGACATCACTAACAACCTAGAGAGGTGGCTTTCTAGACCTTCCTGTGGGCTTATCTAATCATAACCATTAAGGGTCTTCCTTCCACCTGCCTGCCTGCCACCCTTCATTCCTTCTTTCCTTCTTCCCCTCCTTTTTTCCTTTTTTTCAAAACAAGACAGGGTAAATAAATCATTTACACTTCCAGATATCTCTTGCTTTTAAAGAGACGATTGGGGATATCTCTCTAGGCAGCTAGTATAGATCTCATTCATTCTTTTTATCGCCTGCCTAATATTCCATGGTTTGGAAGTCATGCAGTATTAAAATTTCTCTGTTAAAGGGCATGCACCTTGTTTCCAATTTGTTTGGAACTTGGTTTTTTTGTTCTTCTTAAGTTTGGCCACTCAAAGGGGTGCTACAATGAATATCCTATACCTGTCCTCCAATACTACTCCTTTTTTTATATGGTCCAAGAGAGGGATTAACTGCATTTAAAATATACGTACTTTTAATTGTAATAGATGTTGCCAGAGTCTTTCAAAAACAGTTATCCTAGTCATGTTCCAGAATACCCTGCCCCTATCCTGTCCAGTAGTTGGTGTAGGATTACAACGGCAACACCGATTACATAGCCCAGGCACCCATTGACGTGCTATCATGTATTTCACTGGGGTTTAAAACTAGGACTCTCATTGTCCTATAATGATTAGGGGTAGTTGTGATTTTTTTGTGTATTTTTTAAAGAATCCATGGAAAATTTATTTATAGGAAGGAGGGAATCGGAGGCCATTCTGATGCAATCCACCCCTTTCACAGATAAGGAAATCAAGATTCAGAGAGATGGAGGGAGGCAATTGTTCTGAATTCTGAATGGGAGCTTTATGCATTGCCTATACTGTGGGCCATGCTGACACTAATTTTTAGAGAATGGACCAAGAAACATCATCTGTGAGCTCAGCTGACTGCTAGGGAGGGACTGTTCCTGTCTTCTGTTCTCTCCCGCTAGGGTAAGCGAGCTCCCCCAGCCTACACTGGGCTGTGTGGGATTTGCTTTGCAAACTTCTGCAAACATGATAGGACATTTGTTAACTTGGTCTTGTCAGTGGAACTTGCTCCTCTTAATCTTTGTGGGAGTTTGGATTCCCATTTGGGTTTGCTCAGTATTTATTGTAAAGCATCTGATCAGCCACAGCAACTTTTCAGGTTCCCCCTGAATAACGTCAGCCTGTTCAGGGAGTTCAGCCCTTTCTCTTAATAACAGTAGAAAGAATTATGATGGAAATTCACTTTGTCATAGATACACCTCTCCAGCAGGTTAAATATAAATATGTATTTATACATAAATATATACCATGGAGCACGCCTTTGTGTTGCAGACTGGTCAGGACCTGTGCTCATTTGTGGGCTCCCCTGCCAGTGGTCCTGGTTCCTGTGGTTTAGGAGTTCACAGTAGTTCACAAGCCTGCAAGCTGGAACTTCTGAAGGAACTTTCAAAAATATCCTCATGCCCCAGACCCACCCCAGGATTAAATCAGAACCTGTGGGAGAGGAGGCACGGCCGAGCTGAGGACTTGGGGGCAGGCCGTTTGAGGTGGAGACAGTAACCCTCCTGAATGAAGAAAGAAATGAGTTGGAACACGAGGTGTTCTTTTGAGAATCCTGCCCCTCATCTCTCATAGCCCACTTTCTCTCCCTTCCTCCTTCCTATTTCTTCTGTAGATTAAAGCAGTGGAGGAGGGAGGGTATAGCTCAGTGATAGAGCACATACTTAGCATGCACGAAGTCATGGGTTCCATCCCCTGTACTTCTGTTAAATAAAAAGTAATAATAATAAGTAAATAAATAAATCTAATTACTCCCTCCTCCCAAAAAGTTTTTTACATAAATAAATTTAAAGCAGTGGGGTCACATTGTATAAAGTCAATTCATGAAGGCAAAAGTTGAATACTATAAAAATGATCATTAAAGAGGCCCTGAGAATACACTGTGAGGCTTAGAGATCAATGTACCATCTCTTAGTACACCTAGTATAGCCAGTTTTTCCCCTGGCATCAAAACAGATCACTGGTTCTTTGGCTGAGATTCTGATAAAGTAGCATTTGGGAGCCGGGGTGTAAGCAAAATGTGTATTGGAATTGGTCTGCATTCGGTGAGATTCTGGAGCCCTGAGAAGCACGTGGGAGTTGAGGCTGGCTTAGGGAATCCTATTCTTACCTGCTCAGTTCCAAGGCTGACTCTGAGTGGCATATGGGCAGAATCATGGGCACCATTTAAATTCCTTCTCACCTGTCTCCTCTCCTAGGCAGGGACAGGTGAATTCAGGTAGACTGAATGGTAAATGCGCAAACAGATGGGACACCACTGCATTTCAACACTGAATACTCAAAACCTGCTGGGTTCTTTGCATGTACAGAATTCAAGGGCCCTCTGTCTTTCTGTCCCCTAGCATTCCCATGGTTCGGCATGGATATCGGCGGGACGCTGGTTAAGTTGGTCTACTTCGAACCGAAGGATATTACAGCTGAAGAGGAGCAAGAGGAAGTGGAAAACCTGAAGAGCATCAGGAAGTATTTGACTTCTAACACTGCTTACGGCAAAACTGGGATCCGAGACGTCCACCTGGAACTGAAAAACTTGACCATGTGTGGGCGGAAGGGGAACCTGCACTTCATCCGCTTTCCCAGCTGTGCGATGCACAGGTTCATCCAGATGGGCAGCGAGAAGAACTTCTCCAGCCTGCACACCACGCTCTGTGCCACAGGAGGCGGCGCCTTCAAGTTCGAAGAGGACTTCAGAACGGTATGTCCCGTTTACCCCTGTTCAACCGTCAGAACCACCTCTTAGAGAAAGAAGGGAAAACCTCTCACATGACCATGATCCTGGCATCTCTTGTGGACGAACTAGACTCCTAGGCTTGGGACTCTGGACAAGATTACTTCACCTGTCTGTGCCTCAGTTTCCTCATCTATATGAGAATGAAAATAGTTCCCACCTCATAGGGTTGCTACTGGAACGATTCAGTGAGATAATACGTACCTGGCCCTTAGTTAACGCTCAATAAATACCACCTAACCGCCTCATCATTCTTGTTACAATTGCTCCCGTAAAACATGCTAAAGATAAGGTGATCTAAACCTGCTTCTGAAGTATTTTAGAGTTTTCCACAAATTTTTACTACAGTTTCATGTAAGCCGTAATCACTGTGCCAGCTTTCTAGACATATAGACTGAGGCCTTCAGGAAAGGCTTTCTGTAAATCTTACTGAACATTATTATTTCTGTCTACCACGTGCTCTGTATCTTTTTCGTTTTATGAATGTCCTTCAGAAGTTTTGCTCACAAGGAAAAATGAAATCTTTGATATTATTTATAAGTGAATAACTTTGTTATGAATATTATTTAATATGATTCTACATAAGAAGAATAATGCTGTAGCCTGACTGGCAGTACATTCCAACTCTGTGTTGCTCATTTAGATTTGACAAATTTGGCTAAATGGAAGAGATGGATGAGTGACATGAAAATCCTAACTTTCTCTTTATTGAGCAATCCCTACCACCTTTGTGTTCCAGTTTCCTCATTTTTACAGTCAAGGTAATCTTTATACTGTCCAGCTGCATCTCACAGGAATAAAATGAGAATAAAGAGAAATAAGAAATGGAGAAATAAAGAAAATTAAATTAACAGAAGTGATTGAACACAGGAGAAGGAAGGATTGGAAGATCTGGGGCTTAGTCTTGACAGAAAATTTATTATTAATGAATCAATTAATAAATCAGTGCTTTATTCACAGTATTTAATACAGTTATAAGTGCAAACTGTATTTGCATCAGCAGAAGTAACATCGTTTATCTCAATTCGTAAGTAGTTTCTACAAGAGTAGACAGTGAGTCCTAGAGTATTATCTGAAGTGAGATTGATTACATTCAGGTTTTGGCTTTTCCTTTTGTGTCCCCTTTCCCTCCCCAGCAGTAGATTTTGACACTGCCACTTACTTAAATGATTCATGAGATCTTTTTCCCACCGAAGGGACCCAGTGATCAAAAGAGTTTTGAAACGGAGAAGGTTGAGATCCAGGGACTTGAAAATTAAATGCAGGTGTATAAATGGAAAAGCATTAACCCTGAATTCTAGTCCTGCTTCTGCATTTAACTAGCTGGGTGACTTTGAACAAGACATGTCCCTCCTCTGGGTCTCAGTTTCACTATCTTCAGAAGCTGGCAGTAAGATTTCTACAACAGATAAGGAAACTAAAGCTAAAGAGAGATGAAGAGGAGCCAGTAGTGCCCCTAGGTTAGAGCCGGGGTGTCGGCTCCATTCTGATTCAGGAAACGCTGACCAACCCCCAGTGCTGTGAACTCCCCAGTTCCCTCAAGGACACCCTCTGTGTCCGTCTCCATGTGGGAGCCTGAAATGAACCGAGGTGACCTGGAGCACTTACGCCAGCTTTATCAGGAGCTCCATGTCCCTCCGCTGGGGAAATGTCCTGGAAGAAAGTTACTCAATATCTGTTGGCCACAAGCAAGTGTGTTTCTCAAGGGTTTGAACTGAGAAATGTCATATCTTGTTACAACCCAGATAGAGAAGCTTCTGCTCCTTCAGGCAGGTTGCTGGAGCCGCGTGAACAGACTGGTGTGGGGAGCAAGACCAGGGTGTTTGCAAAACAGTCTGGCCATCTATAAAAGAAGGTATCTGGGCTGCCTTCTGTTTCCATGCTCAGTCTTGGCCAAAGTGCAGACAGAATTGAAGAAGATAGCTCTCTTCCTGTAGCCTGTTTGTCAGTACACTCAGTGACCTGCCCTTATCCTTCCAGAGTTTGTGAGGATGAATAGGTTTTGTCATCCTCATTCCTAAGCATTCATTCTCTCACTCAACAAGTATTCATCGTGCTCTTTGTATGCAACAAGTACTATGATGAGCAAAACAAAGCCCCTGCCTTCCTGGAGCTTATATTCTAGTGCAGGGAAGCCAGTCAGTAATCAAATAAGTGAATATAGAATATATCAAACGGCTATAAGTTTGGGAGCATAGGAGGAGTTGGGAGGGTCTTTGTGTGATGTGTTCCCAGTGGAGCAGGAACCAGAAGAAGTAATCAAACAAACCAGGCTGCTAGGGGGGAGAGTATTTTAGGCAGAGGGAACAGTAAGTGCTAAGGCCCTTAGGTGTAGACTTTCCAAGCTCTTCCCTCTTCCAGAATGGGAAGTTGAAGGATCAATCTATAGTACTATATGTAGTAAACAATCTGACAAATAATAACACAGTGCATATACATATCTACCAGAATGTTTTATGTACCAAGTCTAATATTTTTGTTCACAACTACACCTCCTAACTTCAACAAGAGTCCTCTTTCGAATGCAAAGTATTTTAACACTAGAAATTTTATAGAAAAAAATCATCCTTTTTGTCCACTTAGCTCTTCCTTACAAGAGGTACTTTTCCTTGTGAGTTTTGTTCAGTACAAGACTAACATTTATTAGAAGTTAGGAGTGACTCTTAATTATTTAGAAAAAAAGAAGAAAAAACCAAAGACCTGCCTCCTAAACAAGCAGGATATAGCAACAATCTTATTTGCTTGACAGGAGATATAGAGAACAGTAATAGATTTTCTTACTGCTTTCACTGCATGTTTTCCAAGGTGTGAGAACATAAAAATTAGCCTTCATTAAGCCAGAAATCTCCAAGGACACAATCTAAATCAAGTTAATAAGGGTGAAAAATCATAAGGAGGGGATAGGGTAATTGTGGATGTGAAGATCTAAATCTATGTGCCCATTCAAGAACACTTATCAGCTTGGCTCCTGTTATTAATGTGGGGACTGCTTCTTGATATTGCAGACGTACAAGCTTTGGTAGACACCGTCATTCTCCATTGCATTCTAGTTTGACCCTCTTGACCGTTCATGCCCGGCCCCTTTTATCACTGGGTGCCAGGAGGAAGAAGGCATCTCTTGGAGGTTTTGTTATTCTTCTCACGCACAGAACGTGTTTGAAATGCATCTCTCTCAGGTCTCTGTTAGCTCTCCTGCGTGGAGAGAGAAGAGCCCTGAGTGTAATTTATAATTCAGAATCAACCATTTTATATGCAGATTGTTCTCGGTTTAGTCAGATAACCTTTTATGCCACTTTCAGTATGATTTATGGAGTCACTGTCAGCAAAGGCACCTTGGGAAGTGTGAGGTATCATACAGATGTGTGTTTTATTCATTTTGTGGAAAACAACTCAGTGACTCATTTCTCAAGCACAGGGGAGTGACTTTTGGTTTGGGGTAGGTCCACAGAATATTCTCATAGAGAGTAGGTATGGAGCCTCTTGGGATGATGGTTTTTACCAGATTGATTGATTTAGCTATTTATTTAGC